GGCCTATACTACCGGAAGCACAGGACTCGTACTTGGATCAGGGAAAGTCACAAGGTCACCAAGGAGCTAGTAATTGATTCCGTCTTGTTCTAGTCTGTCGTTACCATCATTTCGGTAATGACTTAGAAGATAATTGTTATTCCGACCTTAGAGGTCATATCGAATCGAGTCCGACTAAGATGAGTATGTCACATGGTTCAGAGAACCAAGTTCGATGTAGCATTTGACTTAAGATAGAAGATTGAAGTGAAAGATGATCAAAGCGATCAATAGAAGTATCGCGCTCGTTATTAAAGAAGTTGGTAGTTAGAAATGATACATGTTGAACTGTGATTGTATCACATTAGAACATGAAGGAAGGTATAGTCTGTCCCGGAATTTGTCTCTAAGAGACCTGAGTCTAAACAGTGCATTATACGATGAGAGATCATTAGAACATGACCCATCGGTCTGTTACAATAAATGAAGGAAAGTACTCATTCTAAGAAGAAGAAGGAGTCCTCAATAAGGATTTATTTTGTAACTCGAAGGTTACGATTGAAAGTCCTATAGAGATCTGAAGTTTTTTTAGGAGTTGCTGGATATTACCGAAGGTTTATCCAAGGCTTTTCTTCGATCGCTACTCCATTAACAGCTTTGACCCACAAGGGAGCTATTTATACTTGGAATGAGAAGCATAAGGAAGCTTTTGAGAAGTTAAAGAAGAAGTTGTGTGAAGCATCGATTCTTTCTTTACCTGAAGGAGTTGATGACTTTGCAGTTTATAGCGAATGCATCTGAAGTTGGGTTAGGTTGTGTCATTTATTAGCTTTTGAGAAGTTAAAGAAGAAGTTGTGTGCATGTTTAGCCCTATATTTAGTATAGAGTTTTATCATTTATTAGCTAATTAATTGCATATTATGGACAAAAGGTACTTAATTATGTTTGAATTATATTTTCAGTCCAAAAGAAGTGCTCGGAAGCAAAAGGAAGCAGGAGTAGCTATCGGAAAGCTTTGGAGTGAACAAAAGAAGAAAGGATCAAAAAGCACAAAGGACTCGGCGAGTAGGGACGTCTACTCGACGAGTTCCCACGAAGATTCGCGAAGCAGGAGAGTCCTTGACTTGCCGTACACGGGAATTTAATGAGAGACTCGACGAGTCGGTTGTGGACTCGACGAGTCGAGACGAATCTATAAAAGAAACCCTCCAGATCGATAGACGGGACTTCGGAGAACCCTAGGAAGAGGAGCTACGATTTAGAACGAAGAGAGACATCTGGGAGAGTGAAGATTCAACCAAATTCAAGTTTTGAAGGATAACTAAGGCAAACTTTGATTTCTCTTAACTAGATCTAGTACTTAAACCATGTTTATGTTATTGAATTTCGTTTTTGAGTTTTCTACTGCCTTAATCATGAGCTAAACTTGCTAGCTTCTGTTTGGGTAAGACAATTTCGAGACAATGGTTTGATTAATGGTAGGATTAACTTTTAATTGGTGAGTTTGTTGAATTAAGCTTGTTAAAGATCCTTATGCATTAACCATAACCATTTTATGTTAATAGGAACACAATTAGGCTGCATGAACATCTCTTGATTGTTTACCTCATGTGATTTATGTGAACACTTAATTATGTGCTTAGGATTACTGAATATGAAACTAGGATTAATTAGAGAATGGGTAAGTTAATGTGTGAGCTTGTTTGATAAACCAACAACAAGAGGTTAATTGAATTGACAAATTGATTAACCAATACAAGTCTTATTCAACCCGAATAGATAACCTAGGGAATTAATTAATTTAGACAACTGGCCACTGCTTGAATTAGTTTATTTTCTAAGGATTAGCATAGCGAATGTGAATCTAATCACTTGAATCGGTAGCCAATAAAAGGTTAATCCATTGCACCATTACCATTAAATCAACCATAGGATCAATTGAGTCGAACCTGAACAGAAGTCCTTTTAGATATTGAATTTAGTTGGTCTTTGCTTGCTTAGTTGTTAGTTATTTTAGTTAAGTTTTAGTTTAAGTTTCTAGTCTTGTAAAACTAGAGAAAACCCTAATTTTATTACTTGTCTTTTAGATAATATTAGTTATTAGTTTTAATTTTCCATTCCCTGAGTTCGATACCCTACTTATTTAGCCATACCACAATTGATAGGTCCACTTCCTTTTGTGTGATAATTTATAATTAAAAGTAGGTTTAAAACTAGTTGAGTTTACACACATCAATTAGGATTTAATTAATTAAGAATAAAAATGAGCGTCGAAAATAATCATTAGATAAAGTCGATATCTATTAAGAAAGTTGTAGTGATCGTGACAAGGATTACGGATATATAAAGAATACCGAAATCCGAGTTATAACGAAGAAGTTATGACCTGTCGAAGTTTCGCGACAAAACCGGCACGGTGCCGAATGACGTAAAAAGTGAGTTTTTGATAAACTACTTTTTAGCCTTAGTGATCTAAATGAAAGTCGTAGTGTTCGTTAAACCGAGAGTATGTATAAAAAGAACGCCCAAATATGACTTCGTATGAGGAAGTTATGATTTTTCTAAGTTTCAGCTTAGAAGTAGACAACTAAAAACTCGAATTTTAGATCGAGTGATTTTTAGCCGGCACGACCTAAACGAGAATCGAAGGTCTCGTCAATAGTAGTACAACGGTAAAAAGACAGACGAAAACGGACGTCGGATGAAAAAGTTATGAATTTTGAACGGATTTTCTGTCCCGGTCTGTTAAAAATAATAATATTAAAATTAAAGTCAAAATTAGCCGATGAAGTCTAAATGAAAGTTGTAGAGCGTAATTTTACCTACGCGTGCATATAAAGAACGTAAAAAACGGAGCCCGTATGCGAAAGTTATGGATTTTAGAAGTTTTAGCACAAAAATCGAGAAAAAAATTCTAAAACCGAGGAATTTCGCATGGCTGGTGTTCGGCCACGTCACCCTCGCTCGTAGCACGCCACGTGTCCGAATTGCTGAGTCACCCGAGGCCACCTGGCGAGGCGTGTCGCGTTCTTCTCGAGTCCGAGGTTCGGTCCAATCGGAAGCTGCCCCGTGTCCGATCTGATGAGTCATCTGAACACCTGGCAGACGCGTGTCCGAATCCGGAGAGCCGTCCGAAGCCGCCTCACCTCGCACCGACGCGTGCCCTCCTAACGTGTCCGAGCCTCGCACGTGTGCGCCACCTGCCCCTCCTGGCGACGATGTGACTTCGTGCCTATTCCTTAGGATGAATCCTTAGGAATGAGTGATAGTTGATTTTTAGGGTAAAATCCTTAAGAAATAAATAAGATAATGGGGTTGGGTAAATTGGTTGATTGTTTGACGTTTAAGCATAATAAATTTATTTATTGTGGGTTGAAAATTCTATATGCTCACCAGACTCCCAAGCCTGACGCACTCAGTTTGTTTGTATCACAGGTATCGATACGAAGTTACTTTACACTGAGATTAAAAGAGATGTAGATCACTAGTGTAAGTGAATGTAAGTTCTGTTTATGCTTATGTTTCTGTATTGACGATGACATCCCAATGGTTTAAGTGAATAAAATACATTTCTTCGGAAATGATTTGATAATATAATTATTATGTTTTTATGGGAACAAATTACGCAACATCTTTTAAAAGGATTACTCTGATTTTATTTTAAAAGCATAAATTAAATCGGTCTTTTCTGGCCGAGAAATTTGGGGATGTCACATGTATTAGATGAAACATAAGGCATGAAAGTATGACTATATATGAAAGTATTAGATGAAACATATATATGATGGTAGTATGATTAGATATGATGGTATTATGATTAGATAAGATGTAGATAGAGGTAGATTATGATTATATGTCTATAATCATGTAAATAAGCATGCATGTATGCTTATAGTATGTATGTATCGTTCAAGAAATAGTATGTATGTATGTTAGAGTATGTATGTGTGGTTAAAGATAGAGTAAGTATGTGTGGTTAGATGTTGATAGTGTTGTGTTAGATAACCATATAGATTAGATGGAGATAGAGTGATGATGTATCACTAGAGATTGAAGGTATTGTGCTAAATAACTTATATGTTAGTAGATAAATATTTAGATTAGGTACTTAATGAATTAAGTACTAGATGGTTAGTAGAATATCTCTTAATGAGGGGGTGAGATAAATTGTTATGTGACATGTGATGTGTAAAGTGTTTTTAAAATTTGGAATTACGTATTGTTTAGAAAACTCTGATAATCCCTAGATAATCAGATGAGAAAAATTCGGGTTGTTACATTTCTATTCCTACGAAATGGTATTCCTTAGCCCCAATTAAAATTAATGTTTTGTTGGAGATTGCGATTAAATCATGTGTGTACGCGTACGAATCTGGCAGATAAAAGTATTGACATTGATTCATACACACGCCGTTTTTGTAGATTTCGAAACTGTTGATCATATTTTTACTTATTGTTGGGTTGTTAAGTCTTTTTGAACCCTAATCGTCATATGGTAGGATTATGGATTTTATTCGTTGAATACATTTGTGGAATTGGTCTCTTGATCAGGAAAAGTTAAGTTGAATGTGGTTCAACGCTTTCTTGCGGTTATCCTTACAAGTTTTCGAGTGAAATTTGTTCCTTTTGGAATGGCTAAGCCTCGGAAGTCTAACATCTTTTGTTGAAAATATAACATAGTTTTTAAAAAATAATAATAATAAACACATTATATAGAATTTTATAAAACATCAATTAGATTACTACTTAAATGTTTTATTGAAAAAGTTAACTTCTAGAAAAGGTTGTAATTTATGACAAATCTTTAATTACTCAACCACTGGATAGTTAACTATGAAAATTATACAAGCCTACAAGGTTACAAATTACAAGTGACAATAGAATATGCCGTGCAGATGCGAATAACTTAGCATTAGTAAATTTCATTGTGAAAGTAAAAAGAGGTTTGTTATAATCAAAGCCCTCAATTTTGAATAAGTTCTAGAAGCACACGTCCCATTTTGACTATTTTCCAGTTACGTCGACTCTGTTAAGCAAAGAAAAAGTAAAAACCCTTCTCCACGCATTTCACCAACCCCATATATAAATCAAACGCCAAAACAATCCATCAAACCCTAAGGAAAATCTACCTACAGGAGAAGAAACTTTTCGTCGGAAACAGCCATGGACGAGGATCAAATCCCGTTGTTAGACCTCGAAAAATTGAAGGTTATATCGCCGTTAGGTCGAGGAGCTAAAGGTGTGGTGTTTTTGGTGCAAAATGAGGCATCAAATGGAGAATTACTTGCTTTGAAGGTGATTTCGAGAGCTTCGATTAAGAAGAAGGTGAAGGATAAGGATAGTGATGGTAGTGAGTACAAACGGATTTGCTTCGAGAAGGAGGTGTTGCGACGATGTCAACATCCATTGCTACCGAAACTCCGTGGTGTTTTGTCCACTGAGAATATTGTTGGATACGCCATTGATTACTGTCCAGGACGTGATCTCAATTATCTTCGGAAGAAACAGACGGAGAAAATGTTTTCAGATGATTTAATCAGGTAAAATTCACCTCCTCTATCGGAATTTATGATCACGTTTCATTAATCATTACATTACTGAAAAGTGAATTGCATTATATAATCGAAATTGAAACGAGTTTGTTTGATTCATTTTAGGTTTTACGCGGCGGAATTGGTACTCGCTTTAGAGTATCTTCACGGATTGGGGATTGTTTACAGAGATTTAAAGCCGGAAAACATAATGATCCAGGAAAACGGACACCTAATGCTTGTCGATTTCGATCTATCAACTAAACTTTCACCAAAACTCCCCTCTCAATCTTCATCAGCAAAATCCACATCCTCCCCGAAATCCGATGCGTTACCGAAAAAGAAAAAACGAATTTCACCGTTTTACAAGTGTTGCCACCCTGTTATCTCGGCGGAGGAGTCGGTACATCCCGCCGAGTCAGTTAAATCAGAGACACGTAGCGAGACCCGGTCACTTTTCAAATCCAACTCGTTCGTCGGAACGGAAGAATACGTCTCACCGGAGATGATACAAGGCACCGGCCACGATTTCGCGGTGGACTGGTGGTGCTTGGGCGTCGTCTTGCATGAAATGCTATACGGCACGACACCGTTCCGCGGAATAAACAGGAAGGAAACGTTTTACCGGATTCTATCAAAGTCGCCGGAGCTCGTCGGAAAACCGACGGCGTTAAGAGACTTGATCCGTAAATTGCTGGAGAAGGATCCGAAACAGAGAATATCGGTGGACGAAATCAAGGGTCATGATTTTTTCAAAGGAGTTGACTGGGAAAAAGTCGTACAAATCTCGAGACCTCCTTTTATACCTGGACTGTTCGATGACGAACACGTAGTTGGAATTAAAAAAATCGATGTAGAGGATTTTGTCCAAGGGTTGTTAAAGGTTGATGATGACGTCATTGTTGGCGTCATGGAGAAAGAACATAAACAAGAACAAGATGCTGCCAAGGATCTGTTGGTTTTCTAACTTGAATTTTTGTTTATTTTATTATTTTATTTTTTCTTTACATTTACTCCATGATTATAAAATTAAATGGGGGTATATATATTGACAAACTCAAAAGGGTGGAGTTTAGTGAAATGGTGTCAGACTATTTAAGTACAAGTAATCAGATGCAGTAAATGCTTGGGTAGCTGTACGATAACTGTCAATTTTCGTTAAATTTTTATTATTTTGGTTTAATCGAATAAATCAAAATAAGTAATTAATTATAGTTTTATATTTTATTTTAATAAATTAATATTTTATTTTTAAATTATATAAATTCATTTATTTAACTTATTACCTAGTAATCAAATAATTGTATTTGTATTGTTTATGCAAGTGTGTTCTTTCCTTACAGAAGCCAAAACAAAAAGATATTATAAAGTAAACATACAAAATTGACTCAAGGTACTCATAAAACTTGTTACCAAATTAATAATCCAACTTAACCAACATTATCTGAAAAATCTCTTTGGGTTGAAGATTTGCAAGGGATATAAGAAAGAAGGCAATAAAAAGGTTATATATATATACACACACACTAGCCGTTACCTGCGTCAAGCGACGGGTGCGAGTAATTTGTTATTTTGAACAAAAAAATTCTTAGTTAAGATAATATTTACTTTTTCACTTTTAGATTTTCAATTTTCTGAGGTTTCTCAAGCCTTCTTAATATTTATTTCAATAAGGGTCATATAACGTTAAATACAATATAAGTTCAATTTTGTTTAATAAATTCTTACTTTTAACAAAAAATTCATCCTTAAGATAGTGTTCTCTTGTGTTCTTTATGAATTTTTGTTTTTATTGTTTCTCTTAAGCCTTCTTTAAAAATTATTTCATTAAGAGTCATATAACACTTCAATACATATATGTTCAACTTTTTGTAAGAAACATGGAATAGGTATAAGTTCAACTTTGTCGAAGAAAGATTATAAAAAGACTCACCTTTTTCATTCTATTTAATAATCATCTTTAACATTTCATTGGACACTTGAACTCTATTGACCTATTTAACTTTTTAAAATATAAAAAGGGATAAAGTTACTCAGAAACAAAGTTACATATTCATCTTTCCGACCAGAGACAAAGTTACTTGCTCGAAGAAAAATCCACTAAAAATAGAACATTCTTCCTTCTATATCTCGGGCGTGTGGCACAAATTATTGTTGTTGCAAAATCTACCGTTGACTTGTAGAGAAACATCCATCGGACTGCACAGTGCTCCTTGTGTTTTTCCTTTTTTATTTCAACTTTAGCTATTCACCTGTATGGCAAACCATTTCCATGGCTCAACAAAATACATTCTAAGAAACTAATTCCACTATCTATCAAAAAATAATTCACATTGGAATGACTATCACATGTATAGCAAACAATTCTCATATTATCAGCAAATGTATTTCTTGGTTCACACTTCACACAATTTGGGAATATCAACAAACCTTACAACAAGAAACATGAAAGTAGGGATAAGCTTTCTCGGGGAATTCCATATAAGCGAGGGAAGAATTGTTTTTTTCATTTTTTTCTAATATAGCACCAGCCTGAAAAGGTATAAAAGGTAAATTTTCCCCTCTGTTTATCCATGGATGAGAGAGAACTTGAGCACACATGATTCTTTGACAAATTCATAATATGATGACATATTAAGGTAAACATATTTCTTTTCAACTTGTTCCTATCAAATGAAAAGCTTTAATATGAAGAAATGAAAGTAGGTTGTTATAATAAACAAATTAATAGAAGTATCAACCTTCAGATCCCATCTTAATATATGTAACATTGTAAACTTGTTGGTTCATAGACCTTTATGCATTCTTTTAGTATCATCCATTTGTTGCAGAATCATTTATCTAAAAAATAGATGAAAAAATGATTAATATTTACCATATCTATACAAACACATATTTATAAACTCATATCTACACACATGTATACAAACTTGGAGCAAGTCAGATCTATAAAAAACTAAAATCTGGTAAATCACACCATCATGAATTACCTAACCATGATGCATAACATTTTTCCCAAAAGCAGCTACCCAAGTATCTTCTTGAACCGTATTACACTGAAAATTTTAATGGCAACATTAATTAAAAAAAGAAATTAACAATTTCAATCCTAGCTAATGGTGGTGATTTGATGATTAGAACACTAAAAACATCGATAAAGAAACAAAAGTTGTTTTCTTTTACGGATTGTGAGTTTTAGTAGGTTCGTTATAGAGAATATGAAAGAAAAATTGGTTTAAATCTGCCAAAGACTAAATGGTAATATTGTAGTTTTAATTTACAAATAAGAGGTTAAAAGAAATGTGATTGTAAATGTCACTGATTCAATATAGGAAGCAACTGCAACAGCAAAAAAAAAGGTTCAGTAAACCATAACAAATGCATAAGTCGAACACATGAACCCGGATTGAAAAAAAATGGATATATCACAACCAATTTTCAAAAGAATCACGTTTACCCTGGTTATTAGTTTGGAATTTTTTTAGTGGATCTATGATCTAAAACCAGAGAGAGAGAGAGGAGGGGGGGACCAAGATTACTAAAGATCTTCATGGTGGTGGTTTGTTGCTAGAGATGTAGCTGTTTGAGGACTGTGATGACCGCAGATGGTCTATGATTCTACCTACTCAAAAGCCTTCTTTCCAAGTTCAAAAATGACAATCAGAAATCAGATTCCACTTTCTAATTAACCCTCTTGGTTGAGTTCTTTGAACCTACAAAGAAAACACAATAGAGAAACATATTAAAAACCATTTTAGGAACAAACCTAATATGATAAAGCCTTCACCCAAGATATTTATAAGATAAAAATAATCAAATCAATTACAAGTAAGGATTAAAATAATAACCTGTGAAGATGTCCCAACCCCTTCAGAAGTTCTGATATCGAATTTTCAATCCATTATCTTCAATGACCAACACTATGGTTTATGCGGCCTTCTTTTCAAGATTCTAGACATCCTAGGGCAGCTTCAGCAAGAAGCCTTCTGAATACATAATGAAGACCTAACACCATTAATCATAAAAGAAGATCAGATATAAAGTAATAAAGAACCCAATTCTTGGACTGAAGCGACAAAAAATCAAGAATCAGATTCACCAATTTCACTTGTCTAGTGAAAATCTTTGACGCAGATCTTGAAGAATCCTCATCTGGCTTCATCTATCAATGTCCACATATTTAAGGGCCTGTAATACTCACACATATACACACACAAATTTAAACACACAAACACAAACATTGTTACACACACAGATACCTCGATTCAGTCTACTGAGCACAATTCAATCCCATCATTTTTTAATTCATATGACCTACACAAGAGAATAAAAACAAATTTAAGAGTAAAAAACCCAAACTTAGGTTTTGCCTGTTTTGATCTATTTTGATACCAAAGTAAAATTAAATAAACAAAATATCAATTAATCTGAAGAACTTACAATAGTACATATTGAATTGTGATCCTCCAAAAATTCTCCTTAGATCCTAGAAGAGGCAAGTGGCAGCTGATGGTGGTGGCGGTGGCGGTGGCGGCGGCTGCTACGTGTAGCATGCAGACATAGTGACACGATTGGTGTGGTCGTCGGCTGTTGTGTAGAGAGTAAACATGTTAGAGGTTACTGAAATGGAGAAAATGGGAGGTGGGGGAGAAAAAAATAGAATTTGTGGTCATCATATATGGAGATAGGGGCCGAGATATTTGAGAATTTTGGGGTTCAATTTAATTGTACCTCCTTAATTAGTGCAGGGGAAAATAGACCAAAATCAATTGAAAGAGATAAGGAGAGATACCTCTTTCAAGTTTATCTGTGATTGCTTCAGGATTTGATTACTGCGCGAGGTTAAGATCACCAATTTGGGGTTAGGTCATCAGTGGCTGTTTCGATGCACCAGGAAGGGAGATAGGGATGAACATGGGAAGAGAATGGAGAAATCGGAGATGCCAATTGAATCTGCAATTTGAAAGAGCTATATAATGTCAGTCTAACCGATGTAATTGATGGTTTTGACAAATTCAGTTGGCTAAAATTGAGGAACGATGGTTTAAGTTTGATTAATTCACATGTTTAATCGGATAAGAAAGGTTGGGGGAGTTTGTTAGACCGGATAGGGGATAGGGGACCGAGTCAATAAAATTTATGTTGACCGCATAGCATAAAGTTATTGTACATACTGTATAATAGGTTGTTACCTCTTAAAATTCAGCAAACAGGTTAAATGCTTATTAAGGTATAAAGATATATATATATATATATATATATATATATATATATATATATATATATATAGTTCAATTGAGAAAAGGTTGAGAATGTGTAAATCATTCTCAGCCAATCATTTATTTTTGACGCAAAAGCCTCCAACATACCAGCGGAGATGGGAAAAGAATACACATGTGTTTTCCAACAAAACATGTTTCCTTAAACTATGTTAATCATTACCTTAATATATACAAAAACATAATTTTTTCGTTTTTTTAATTTTTTTAATGAGTTATTTTTATCGAAATATGATTTTAAATACATCGAAATTTATAATTTTTTATTCTCTATAAATAGACATTCATATTGATATAGTTTTAAGATAAAATAAAATTTTTATTTTTTTATAGTTTCAGCTCTTGTTATTCATAAGTGAATAAAACTACATCAGATTTTTACTACAACACATTCGTTATTCACTTATTAATAAAAAATATGATTAATTTTTTTAGAGTTTAAATATCATTCATATATAAATATAACATATATAAACTCTTTATAGTTTACATCAGCTCTTGTCACATGTTATAATCACATATGAATAAAACGCGTATTAGTCTTCCTCACAAATTATATTCATAAATGAAAAACACATTCATCATAATTTTCATACAGTTCATTTGTTATTCATATATGAATAAGTAGTTCAAAATTTTAAAACACGTCATCTTTTATTAACATACTACTTATTCATATTCGAATAACAAATGAACTATAACAAAAATCTAATAAACTTTTTATTTATATATGAATATAACATATGACGACCATTAATACACATTTTATTGATATATAAATATAACGAGTGACGAAAGATGATGTAAACAAATATATTTTAGGTAAAAACGTTTTATTACGTGTTATATGTA